TGTGTGTGTGTGTGTGTGTGTGTGTGTGTGTGTGTGTGTGTGTGTGTACACCACATCTTCTTTATCCATTCATCAATGGATGGACATTTGAGATCTTTTCATAATTTGGCTATTGTAGATAATTCTGCTATGAACATCAGGGCACACGTATCCCTTCGAATTAGTATTTTTGTATTCTTTGTGTAAATACCTAGTAGTGCAATTGCTGGATTGTAAGGTAGTTTTATTTTTAACTTTTTGAGGAACCTCCATACTGTTTTCCAGAACGACCGCACCAGTTTGCATTCCCACCAACAGTTCAAGAGGGTTCCCCTTTCTCCACATCCTTGCCAACACTTGTTCTTTCCGTGTTGTTGATTTTAGCCATTCTGAAGGTGTGAGGTGATATTTCATTATAGTTTTGATCTGCATTTCCCTGAAGATGCATGATATTGAGCATTTTTTCATGTGTCTTTTGGCTATCTGTATGTCTTCTTTGGGAAAACGCCTATTCATGCCTTCTGCCCATTTTTTAATTGGGTTGTTTTTTGGACACAGAGTTTTATAAGTTCCTTATATATTTTGGATACTAACCTTGTGTCAGATATGTCATTTGTAAATACCTCCTCCCATTCCAAAGGTTGCCTTTTAGTTTTGTTGATAATTTCCTTCGCTGTGCGGATGCTTTTTATTTTGATGTAGTACCAGTGGTTTATTTTTGCTTTTGTTTTCCTTGCCTCAGGAGACATATCTAGAAAAAAGTTGCTAAGGCTGATGTCAGAGAGGTTACTGCCTGTGTTCTCTCTAGGATTTTAATGGTTTCTTATCTCACATTTAGGTCTTTCATCCGTTTTGAATTTGTTTTTGTGTATGGTGTAAGAAATTGGTCCAGTTTCATTTTTTTGTATGCTGCTCTCCAGTTTTCCCAACACCATTTGTTGAAGAGACTGTCTTTATTCCATTGGATAATCTTTCCTGCTTTGTGGAAGATTAATTGACCATATAGCTGTGGGTTCATTTCTGGGTTTTCTTTTCTGTTCCATTGATCTATGTGTGTATTTTTGTGTCAGTACCAAAACAGATATGCTGTTTTGATCACCATAGCTTTGTAATATAACTTGAAGTCTGGAATTGTGATGCTCCCAGCTTTGCTTTTCTTTTCAAGGTTGGTTTGACTATTTAGGGTCTTTTGTGGTTCCATACAAATTTTAGGATTCCTTGTTCTAGCTCTGTGAAAAATGCAGTTGGTTTTTTGATGGGGATTAGATTAAATCTTTAGATTGCTTTGGGTAGTATAGACATCTGTACAATATTTGTTCTTCCAATCCATAAGCATGGAATGTTTTTCCATTTCTTTGTGTGATCTTCAGTGTCTTTCATCAGTGTTTGATAATTTTCAGAGTATAGATCTTTTACACTTTCGGCTAAGTTTATTCCTAGGTATCTTACTGTTTTTGGTGCATTTGTAAATGGGTTTGATTCCTTAGTTTCTCTTTCTGCAGCTTCATTATTGGTGTATAGAAACGCAACAGATTTCTGTACATTGATTTTGTATCCCGTGACCTTACTGAATTTGTTTATCACTTTTGGTAATTTTTGGTGGAATCTTTTGGGTTTTCTGTATAGAGTATCATGTAATCTGCAAATAGTGGAAGTTTGACTTTTTCCTTTCCTATTTGGATGCTTTTATTTTTTTGTGTTGTCTGATTACTGTGGCTAGGAATTCTGTTTCTGTGCTAAATAACAGAGGTGAGAGTGCACATCCCTGTCTTGTTTCTGACTGTAGAGGAAAAGCTTTCAATTTTGGCCCATTGAGGATGATATTAGCTGTGGGTTTTCATATATGGCTTTCATTATGTTGACATATGTTCCCTCTAACCTTGCTTTGTTGAGTGTTTTTGCCATGAAAGGATGTTGTACTTTGTCAAATGCTTTTTCTGCATCCATTGAAAGGATCATATGGTTCTTTTTTTTTTTTAAGAGATTTATTTATTTGAGAGAGAGAGAGATGGGGAGGAGTGGCAGAGGGAGTGGGAGAGAGAGAATCTCAAGCAGATTCCCCACTGCACGTGGAGCCTGACATGGGGCTTGATCTCACAACCCTGAGATCATGACCTGAGCTGAAATCAAGAGTCCAGTGCTTAACTGATTGAGCCATCCAGGTGCCCCAGGATCATATGGTTCTTATTCTTTCTTTTATTAATGTGTATCCTTTTGATTGATTTGTGAATATTGAACCACCCTTGCAGCCCAGGAGTAAATCCTTCTCGATTGTGGTGAACGATTCTTTTAATGTACTGTTGGTTTCAGTTTGCTAGTATTTTATTAAGAATTTTTGCATCCATCTTCATCAGGGATATTGGCCTGTAGTTCTCTTTTTTAGTCAAGTCTTTATCTGGTTTTGGTATCAGGGTAATGTTGGCCTTATAAAATGAATTTGCAAGTTTTCCTTCCATTCTATTTTTTGGGATAGTTTGAGAAGAATAGGTATTAACTCTTCTTTAAATGTTTGGTAAAATTCACCTGTGAATTCATCTGGCCCTGAACTTTTGTTTTTTTGGGAGATTTTTTTATTCCTGATTCAATATCTCTGCTGGTTATCAGTCTGCTCTAGTTTTGTATTTCTTCCTGTTTCAGTTTTGGTAGTTTATGGTTGTCTAATTTGTTGGCACATAGTTTTTCATAATATTCTCTTATTCTGTTTCGTGGTGTTGGTTGTTATTTCTCCTCTCTCATTTGTGAATTTATTTATTAGGGTCCTTTCTCTTTTCTATTTGATAAGTCTGGCTAGGGGTTTATCAATTTTACTAATATTTTCAAAGAACCAGCTCATGTTTTCATTGATCTGTTGTTTTTTAGTTTCTATATCATTTATTTCTGCTCTATTCTGTATTATTTCCTTTCTTTTCCTGGCTTTTGGCTTCATATGTTGTTCTTTTTCTAGCTTCTTTGGGGGTAAGTTCAGGTTGTTTATTTGTATTTTTCTTGCTTATTAAGGTAGGCCTGTATTGCTATATACTTTCCTCTTAGGACCAATTTTTGTTTCTTCTTTGGTTTCCTGGTTGACCCATTCATTGTTTAGTCGCATGTTTTTTTCTTTCTTTTTTTTTTTATTTTTATTTTTAAAGATTTTATTTTATTTATCCGACAGAGACAGCTAGAGAGGGAACACAAGCAGGGGGAGTGGGAGAGGGAGAAGCAGGCTTCCCGCGGAGCAGGGAGCCCAATGTGGGGCTCAATCCCAGGACCCTGGGATTATGACCCGAGCTGAAGGCAGATGCTCAAAGACTGAGCCACCCAGGCACCCCAATAGCATGTTTTTTAACCTCCATGTATTTGTGGTCTTTCCACATTTTTTCTTGTGGTTGACTTTAAGTTTTATAGCATTGTGGTCAGAAAATATGCATGGTATGATCTCAGTCTTTTTGTACTTGTTGAGGCCTGATTTGTGACCTAGTATGTGATGTATTCTGGAGAGAGTCCCATGTGCACTTGAAAAGAATGTGTATTCTGGTTTAGGATGGAATGTTGATGGAA